TCCCTCTCCCTCTCCTCCCCTCCCCTCTCCCTATCCCTTATCCCTATCCCTTCCCTCTCCTCTCCCTCTCCCTCTTCCTTCTCCCTCCCTCTCCCTCCTCCCTCTTCCTTCTCCCTCTCCCTCTCCCTCACTCTCTCTCAGGACACAATTTTCTAGTTTCTGAAAAAAAAAAGAATAAATAACCAAGAAATAAAAAAAATAATAATAATAAAAAAATGTGCATAATTCATACGATCCCCTGACACTTGAACCTCTCTCTGTCCTCTCACACTCACCCTCCCTCCCACGCCCTTCACCGCCTTTCCCCTCCCCAAAGCATCACCCATAGGTAGTAGGCCTATCACCATTCTTTACGCCCTAAAATCTCAGACCAGGGATCCGCTCCCCTCTTTTCCCCTTCGTTAAAGAGATTTTGGGGTTCGAGGCAGGTCAGTTCCCCGGGAGGGGGAGGGCGGGAGCGGGCGATGGAGGGGAAGCGGGAATTGCGGTGGGAGGGTGGTGAGGGGGTGAGGGGGAGATAGAGGGAGGGGGAAGGGAGGGGGAAGGGGAATGCGAGCGTTAGAAGTGGGGCGTGGTATGAGGGGGAATAGAAGTAGGGGGAGCGGGAAGGGTTTAATGGCGGGTTTAAGAAGGGAGGGGTGATGCGGGAGAGAGGGCGGGAGGAGGAGGGTTAATGCGAGTAGAAGGGCGGGTGGATGAGGGGAGAGTGAAGTCAGGGTGGAGGCGAAGGGAATGGGGTTTTAGGAAGGGGCGGATGAGGGAGATAGAAGTTAGGGCGGAGCAAGGGGGGGTAATTGCGGTAGTCGGAGGGAGGGGGGATGAGTGGAGAAGAGTAGGGGGAGAGAAGGGTAATGCGGGTAGAAGGGGGGTGAGAGGGGAGATAGAAGTAGGGGGGAGTGGAAGGAGTAATTGCGGGTAGAAGAAAGTGGGCGTGGTGAGGGAGAGAGGTTAAGGGGGGAGGAGGAGGGGTATTTGGGCGCAGTAGAAGGGGGGATGAGGGGAGATTAGAAGTAGGGTGAGAGGGGAAGGGCGGGAGAAGGGGGGGGATGAGGGGAGAAAAGTAGGGGGATGGTAATGCGGTAGGAGGGGGGCCGTGGATGAGGGAGATAGAAGTAGGGGGAGGAAGGGGAAGAGGGTAATGCGGGTAGAAGGGGGGTGGGAATGGGGGGAGATAGAAGTAGGGGGAGGGGAAGGTTGAGATGCGAGAAGGACGGTAGTGAGATGAGGGGAGATAGAAGTAGGGGGGAGGGGAAAGAGGTAATGCGGGTAGAAAGGGGGGGGTTGAGGGGAGAAGAGGTAAGGGGGAGGTGGGGGAAAGAGGGTAATGCGAGTAGAAGGGGGGGATGCAGGGGAGACTAGAAGTAGGGTGGAGGGAGGTAATGCGGGTAGAAAGGGGGGGGGGTGAGGGAGATAGAATAGGGAGAGGGGAAGGGTAATGCGGTAGAAGGGGGGGGTGAATGGGGACAGAGAGGTACGGGCGAGGGGGGAGCTTACTGCTGGTGGAGGGGGGCGAGGCGGTGTCAATTGACAGGCTATGCGATAATTGGTGTAATCTCACGTAATGGTAGATAACGAGGTGGTTATTCTCCTTCTCTTTCTCTCCGATTTTCTGTCTCTGTTTCTCTGCTTGTCTTTGTCTCTGTTTCTGTTTCTGTTTCTGTTTCTGTTTCTGTTTCTGTTTCTGTTTCTGTCTGTCTGTCTGTCTGTCTGTCTGTCTGTCTGTCTCTCTCTCTTCTCTGTCTGTCTGTCTCTCTCTCTCTCTCTCTCTCTCTCTCTCTCTCTCTCTCTCTCTCTCTCTCTCTCTCTCTCTCTCTCTCTCTCTCTCTCTCTCTCTCTCTCTCTCTCTCTCTCTCTCTCTCTCTCGAGTAATCATCATTAGAAGAACACAACTAAACATAATTAATCAATTAATTCCTAATTATCACACAAGTAAATCCGTCACCTAATGATTAAAAAACAATTAACAAAAACAACAAATGAACAAACACACCCAAGACAAAACAAACAACAAACAAACAAACCCCCTCCCGCAGCGGTGACCATGAATCCTTGAAACAAAAGTGGAACAAAAAAAACAACAACAAAAACAACAACAACAAACAAATGACTTGCTGTCACGCACATGTACGGAAATATACCGACACACCAGCGACACATGTACACATTTATTGTTTTACTTTGTTTGGGTGAATATAAATACAAGGTAGAGTAAATAGGTAAATAAATATATAAATAGATAAATAGATAAATTATGGCTAAATCTATGACTATGATTTGATAAAGCAGATCTAAAGTAGTTAATAGATAAGGATAAATGTATCGTATATAAAAAAGAAATGTGTAAATAAATAAATAAAACTGTATACACAAAAAAATCGCAAAGTGAAATGTATTTAATTAAAAAATAATAAATACGCTATATTTACTGTATCTATTCGTAAAAAATGTGATATGCATTGTATCTTTTTAGCCAGAAGAAAAGGAATTAAAATGTTTAACTTTATTAAAAGTAAAAAATAAAAAAAATATGAAAATACCATGTGATCGTATTTCACAAAACGGAACAAAATGAAACGAACGAAAATAATACACAATCGGGTGTTCTTTTTTTTCGTCAAATGATAAAAAGTGTCACGCAAGATGATTATGTTCATTTGAAGCCGAGTTGAGAACTTTCGGACAAGTTCGAAAGTTGTTTGTTGCCTTGCTCTTGTTGGGGGATTGGAAAAAAATGTGTGCGTATGTGGTGTGCGCGCGTGTGTGTTTCTCTCTCTCCCTTTCTGTGTTTGTGTTGTGTGTGTGTGTGTGTGTATGTGTGTGTGTGTGTGTGTGTGTGTGTGTGTGTGTGTGTGTGTGTGTGTGTGTGTGTGTGTGTGTGTGTGTGTGTGTGTGTGTGTGTGTGTTGTGTGTGTGTGTGTGTGTGTGTGTGTGTGTGTGGCGTGCGTGCGTGCGTCTGTGTGTATGCATGTGCGGTGTTTATATTTTTCTTCGAAACACAGATACGAAAGAAAATTATATAAAAAACGCAAAAAAATATTTCCAAAAATACACAAACAAAAAAATAATAAGAGAGTGACGAAGCAAAAAGACAAAAGAGACCCTCGTTAGTTCGCCAGTTTTCCGCGCAACGGTAATGGCGCTGCAGTGCCTGTTGCGATTTGGCACTCTATCGTGGCACTCCGGAGAGGTTACGACCTATCCGCGTCGTAAATTCCTTATGGCAACGGGGGAGACGGACGGGAACAGCAACAGGAGATAACAGTAGCGTGGTTCTCGCAGCTTCGGTAACAGGAGCGCTGACGGACACGGCAACAGGGGCAGTTTAACGGACTCAACAGCAACAGAAGTTTAACGGACTCAACAGCAACAAGAAGTTTAACGGACTCAACAGCAACAGAAGTTTAACGGACGCCGCGGCAACAGAAGCAATTAACGGACACACAGATGACTGCATCACTGACAGACACAACAACAGGGACAGTAACGGACAGTAATGACTGGGTAAATTAACGGACGCACTGGCAACAGGAGCTTTAACAGCAACAGACGCAATAACGGACACACTGGCAACAATAACGGACGCACCAATAATAAAAGTATTAATGGCCACGAGAGCTTGGACAATAACGGACACCCACCCACAACAGGACCCATTAACGGACACCCACCCACAACAGGACCCGTTAACGGACACGCACCCACAACAGGACCCATTAACGGACACCCACCCACAACAGACCCGTTAACGGACACCGGACCCATTAACGGACACCCCATCCCCGCCCCTTTACGGAAAGAGACAACGGAGGCGCTAATAGGAACGGCAACGGAGACGACAACGGTTTAGGGCCAACGGGAGAAGTTTTATGGGGTGGGTGGGGTGGGGGCGGGGGGGGGGGGGAAGCTGAAGTATCCGGCCTCTTATATTGTAGTTATTAAGCAGGGGGGGGGGGGTTTGGAAGAAGGGTGGGAGGGGCAGAAGGAGGGAAGGGAGATAATGGGGGGGGGGGATGGAGGCATGTGGGGGGAGTGATGGTGTGGGGTACAGGAGGGGAGTGATGGTGTGGGGGATAGGGGGAGGGGAGAGGGGAATGGAATGCGGAAAGTGGAGAGCAAGGGGGGGGGGAGGGGAGAATGGGGGAGAAAGAGGGGAGGAGGGGAGGAGATGGGAGGGGGAAGGGAAGACTAAAGAAAACTAATGGAGGAGGTGAATGGTGTGAGAGAGAGAGAGAGAGAGAAGAGAGAGAGAAGAGAAGAGAAGAGAAGAGAAGAGAAGAGAAGAGAAGAGAAGAGAAGAGAAGAGAAGAGAAGAGAAGAGAAGAGAAGAGAAGAAAAGAAAAGAAAAGAAAAGAAAAGAAAAGAAAAAAGAAAGAAAGAAAGAGAGACAGAGAGGAGAGAGAAAGAAAGAGAAAGAAAGAAAGAGAGAGAGAGACGGACAGAGACGTAAGTGCAAATAACGCTGGAATGTGACTACCTGAGGACCTTATCTTACGGGCCAACCCCAACTTACACCATCCTCCCAACAACCTAACCCCCCCCCAAAAAAAAAAAAATATTAATAATAATAAATAAAATAAATAAATACAAAAATTAACACTTCTCCCCTCCTCCTCTTTCCGTATCCCTCTCTCTATCCTCATTCCTCATTCCTTCAAGCCAACCCCAGACGCCCAACCCAAGCCAACCCGCGCCACCCAAGCTAACCCAGACGCCAAACAACCCACCCCAACACAAGCCAACCTCAGACGCCCAACCCAAGCCAACCTCAGACGCCCAACCCAAGCCAACCATAGACACCACCCAAACCAACCCAGACGCCAACCCCAAGCCAATCCTATCCCCCCAGACCAACCCAGACCAAACCAACCGACCCAGACGCCCACCCAAACCAACCCAAGCAACCATAAACGCCCAACCCAACCAACCAACCCCATAAACGCCCACCCAAGCCAACCCAGACGCCCAACCCAAACCAACCCAAGCCAACCCCAGACGCCCAACCCAACCCACCCAGCAACCACGTAACGAGAGGAATAACATTGAGACGCAGAAAGCCCCCAAAAAGCCCCAGCCGATGACGTAATGTATGCACCAACCAAACAGAGAGAATTATCCTTTTCATTCCGACAGGGGAAATTAATGAGCAGGGGGGGGGGGGGGAGGGGGGGCAGGGAGAAGAGTGGTGGGGGCATTAGGGGGACTTAGGTATAATTAATTGGCAAAAGGGGGAGAAGAAGAGTGGGGGGAGGGAGGGATGGAGGAGGGGTGTTGGTGGGAGGGAGGGAGGGAGGAGGAAGGGAGGAAGGGTGTTGGAGGGAGGGAGGGAGGGAGGGAGGGTGGAGAGAGAGGGTGTTGGAGGGAGGGAGGGGAGGGAGGAGGGGTGTTGGTGGGAGGTGGGGTGTTGGAGGGAGGAGGGAAGGGAGGAAGTAGAGGGTGTTGGAAGGAGGGAGGCGGGAGGAGGGTGTGTTGGAGGTAAGGGGGAAGGAGGAAGTAACTGAGGGTGTTGGAGGGGGGAGAGGGAGGGAGGTGGGGTATTAGATGAGGGAGGAAAGGGGGGAGGGGGAGGTCAGAAAAACAAATAGTAGGCTTAATGGTCGATATAGTAGGGGTCCGTTCCTTCTCCAAACATCCTCCCACCTCCCCCCCTGTCCCTTCTACCCCTCTCCCCTACTACCCACACCCCACACCCCTCCTCCCATCACCCTTCCCCGTCTTCCTCTCCTTCTTAAACCTTAAACCCAAAATTTCTGTTTACATTTTCCTTTCCCATGGGTTCGCGTGCATTACATAAACGGAAAAAAGAAAAAAAAAACGAGACGATAACAGAGATACAAAAATAAATAAACAAATAATTAAATACATAAACAAAACAACTTTATTTCCTAAAAGAGTACATAACACAAACGAGAAAAAAAATACGAGACGATAACAGAGATACAAAAAAAAAAAAAAACAATAATAAATAAATACATAAATAGATAAAGAAACAACTCTGTTTCCTAAAAGAACATTTTTTGTTGTTTTTTTCTTACTGTGTCTATACCCTGTCAGGCTTAAAACATATTCATGTAGGTGAATACTTAAAGAACAAACACAGAAGGAATAACTAAGAATCCGTAACAGGATAATACGCCCATAATCCCATTACGTTTGGGCGTCAATGGAGGGGGAGGAGATGGGGGGAGGGAGGGGGGAGGGAGGAGGGAGGTGGAGGGGGGGAGGAGAGAGGAGGAGTGGAGGGGGAAGGAGGAGGAGGGGAAGAGGAAGGAGGGATGGGAGGGGAGGAGGAGGGAAGGGGAAGGAGGAAGGAGGGGGAGGGGAGGAGGAGGGAAGGAGGAAGAGCAAGGGGAGAGGGCAAGTACTGTCTACTTTCTCTTCCTTGTTTCTCTCTTCTTAAGCCGCTTTGCCTTCGAGAAGCTCGCTATATACACATAAGTTCAAACTCACTCTACATACACAAATTTTCTAAGGTGACTTTCAATTCTTGTCCCTAGTTTATACGTATTTTTAATCAACTACTTCCCCATATATAAAGGCACCAAGCTTAACGAATATATATATATATATATATATATATATATATATATATATATATATATATATATATATATATATATATATATATATATATATATATATATATATATATATATATATATATATACTGATTGTTTCTCTCTCATATATTTTTTTTCTATTTTTTTAAATATATCATATTTAACGAATTAACAGTAAAAAAACGTTTAAAATACATCAAAGATTTCTTCAAAGACAACTATATCATGGTAGATCTTCATCTTATTTACAAGTACCTCATTATTCCAAGTTTCTATTTCTTTTAATCCATTTCCTCATATATCAAGCTACCGAACTTGACGAATTAACAACAAAAACCTTAAACGAACTGAATGCATTTTTTTTACGAAGGCAAGTTTGTACTACAGTCTCCTGGTCGTAACTTAGGGAATTGAGCACAAGTTCCTCATAATTCTAAGTTTCTGTTATTTTATTAATCCAAAAGCTGGACGAATCAAATGGCAAAAATTCTGAAACATTACGGACTAAATACTTTTCTTTTCTTCTCCAAAGAAATCTAAAGCAGTCTCCCCTATACTGAAGGCAACGAAGAGCAAGGAAGAAAGAAAGAGAGAGAGAGAGGAGAGAGAGAGAAGAGAGAGAGAAGAGAGAGAGAGAGAGAGAGAGAGAGAGAGAGAGAGAGAGAGAAGAGAGAGAGAGAGAGAGAGAGAGAGAGAGAGAGGGGGTGATCTATGTGTATGTATAAATATATATATACATACATACATATATAGATAGATAGATAGATAGATAGATAGATAGATAGATAGATAGATAGATAGATAGATAGATAGATATAGATATAGATATATATATATAGAGAGAGAGATAGATAGAGAGAGAGAGAGAGAGAGAGAGAGACAGAGGACAGACAGAGCAAGAGAGAGAGACACTGGCTTGCGCCTCAGACAGCCCAACGTATGAGTGCCATTAGGGATGCCGACACACACTGGCGCCCTCGACCCCAAACCCAGCTGGGATGCACATTCGTCCTTTTTTGGTACTTTTAGGAGCCGATAGATGGCGGGGCAAGAGGGATGGCGGGAAGACCGATTTGGGAAGATGTGGTTTAAGTTTGTTTGTTTTTCCCATGATGGGTCTTCGTCTAAGAGTTTTGAAGGGAACGGAAAGCGATGTTTAAATTACAATTAATTTTGGGAATAAATAATGGTGTTTTATGTGAACGTAACGGTTGACATTAATTACACATGGATTCGCTCGTGCACGCTCGCGCACACACACACACACACACACACACACACACACACACACACACACACACACACACACACAACACACACACACACACACACACACACACACACACACACAACACACACATACAGACACACACAAACACACAAACCAATCCATCAAAATTAAACCAATCAATAAAACAATAATAAACCATAACAGATGAATAAACAAGTATATAAATAAATAAAAAAATAAATAGAGTAAAAATGAATAAAGTAGAGAGAGAGGAACTTGTCCTTCCTTGTGGATAGAGTAAAAGGGGAAGAAATATGGAAGGAAAAAATATCTTATCTCACAATCGTCTTCGTCTGTTTCCCCTTCCTTGGCCTTTTGCCCTTCCTCGTCAATTGCCCCTTTGTCCTTCTTCGTCCTTTGCCTCTTCCTTGCCCTTTTGTTCTTCTTCGTTCCTCCCATCTCCCTTATCTCTTCCTTGTCCCTTTGCCCTTCCTCCTTCCTTGTCCCTCTCTTGCCCTTCCTCATTCTTTGCTTCTTCCTTGTCCCTCTCTTGCCCTTCTTCATTCCTTGCCCCTTCCTCATCCCTCCCATCTCCCTCATCCCTTGCCCCTCCATCTCCCCTCATCCCTTCCTCATCCCTTGACCTTCCTCCCTTGCCCTTCCTTCTCATTCTTCTCCTCCCTTACTCTTTCTTGCCCCTTCCTCATTCCTTGCCTCCTTCATTGTCCCTCTCTTGCCCTTCCTCATCCCTTGCCCCTTCCTTGCCCTCTCTTTGCCCTTCCTCATTCCTCTCTCCTTCATCCATTACCCCCCTCTATCGCCTCTTTGCCTTCCTCATTCCTTCCGCATCCTTGCTCTTTCCTCGCCCTTCTCATCCCCCCATCTCCCCTCATCCCTTCCTCATCCCTTACCCCTCTTCCCTCCCTTCCCTTCCCTCATCCCTTCCTTGCCCTTCCTCATCCTTTACCCTTCCTCATTCCTTGCCTTCCTCATTCATCATCCCTTCCTCATTCCTTCCTCCTTCTTCCTTCCTTCCTTGCTCTTCCCCTTCCTTGCCCCATCCTCATTCCTTCCTCCTTCTTGCCTCCTTCCTCATTCCCTTCCTCCCTTCTTGCCTCCTGCCTTCCTTTCCTTGCCTCTTCCTCATCCCTTCCACTCCAAAGCGATGAGAGGTTTCCACGCGCACATGAATACAGATCCCGACGATGAATGCAACCTGTTCCTTGGCGTTCGTAGGTGTTGCAAAAAAAAAAAAAGAAAACAAAAGAAAATGGAAAAGAAAAGAGAAAATAAGAAAGAGCCTTCTCAAGATTTTTAAATATATTTTGATAATAAAGAATATTCTTAAAAAAAAACGAAAAATACCCTTAAGATAAGATAAAATAAGTAATAACCCCTTGTCAAAAAACGAATAAATAAATAAAAAAAGAGAAATAAATATACAAAAGATAACAAAGTAACAACTTTCGCAAAAAAATAAATAAATAATAATAATAAAATAAAAAATAAAAATAAAATAAACAAGATCAAAAATAAAACAAATAAGATAAATAGATTTAAAAAAATCTTAAAAAAAAAAAAAAAAAAAAAAAGGGAACACCATTCTCAAAGAATATGTTAATTCCTCGTTGGAGGCGCGAGTGGGTTCTCATTCTTTTGCGATTCTCGGCTCAGCGAGTGAATGAAGGGGCGGCGCCGGAGTTCTGGCTGAGGGGATTTGAACAAAGAGAAAAAGAAAAGGGAAGAAAAGAGAGAGAGAGAAGAGAAAAAAGGGAAGAAAGAAGAGAGGAGAAGAGAGGAAAAGGGAATAGAAAAGAAGAGAGAGAGAAAAGAGAAAAGAAAGAGAAGAAGAGGAGAAAAAAAAGAAAAGGAGGAAAGAAGAGGAGAAAAAAAGGAAAAAAAGAAAAGGAAAAAGAGAAAAGAAAGGAGAAAAAAGGGAAAAAAGGGAGAAGAAAAAGAGAGAGAAAGAAAAGAAAAAGGGAAGAAAGAATAGGGAAAGAAACGAACGGAAACAAGAGAAGAAAAGAAAGAGAAAAAATTTAAAAGAGGAAAAGACGAGAGAGAAAAAAGAGAAAGAAAAAAAGAAAAGAGAAGGGAAAGAAAAAACTAACATTTAGACAAATATAGGATAAACAAAAAAAAGCCAAC